GTTTTTTATGTCTTTAAACATTATGTTACTTATGTAATATTATTTTATGCACTGTCATCATTTTTCAAATATTGAGACTTACATCATGTGAATTTGAACTCTCATGGTCCTGAAACTGTAATCTTATTAAAAGGGTAGATTGAGACCATCTTCTGGGACTTCCAGAAGACAGTCAGGTTATTAAGTTTATATTGCCTGGTATCTATTTTTTCTTCTGTTGGAAGACCATCAAAATGGAGGATGGATCAAAATAGATACTTTGGAATACTGTCAGAGAATATCTCTGGGTCCGCTCATGTTATTGACCATTTTACCTGACAAAATGACCTTTTTTGCATCTTTATTTTCTGTTTTTTGTCTGTACATTTGACAGCTTTGCTGCCTTGTTTAGATAATGTGATGGAAATTTGAATTTTTAATGGCAATATCCATTTTGGCCAAAAGATGTATCAAGTGTAAGCAAATAAAAAGCTGTATGTGCATGAATATGAAGATAATGTAAATAAGTAAATGTCATGATAGCGAAGAGGATTTATTGCAAAATGATTGTTAATAAAGGAGTATATTCACCACACTGCAGCTTTATAATATTTTACATTTTACTGTATGATCAATTAATAATTTATTGAAAGATAATAAATGTTGCTTACAGAGAAACTTTTTCTGATAGTCATTTTGCTGGACATATTTTATTTTCAAACTAGTACACATTATGCCAATCCTGAAAATAAATTTCTAATAATAAATAGCAACACCTTTAAATAAATTAGAGGCATGTCAAAGGGAATTTTTGAAATTAAAAATTAAAACTATTTCCAGTCCTTTAATAAATAATATAAAAAGTTTAATATTAAAGAATTTACATTTCTGATTATTCTTTCATCAATCTATTTATTTATTTATTTAAACATGTATTCATTCACTCAATAATATCAACTCCTACTAAGAAATTTATCCAGTTTTATTAATCATGTATTTATTTATATATTCATCATTAAGTGACAATACAATATTCACCTGCATTTAAGAATCTGTGGCAGCTGTCTGGAGACTGTGGCTGAAGCCTGCTGTGTCACACACACTGTAACAGCACACAACTCCTTCATCTGTGGAGGACAAGAGAAGTACAACTCCCAGGGTCCACTGACATATTTGTTCCTGGCCTGCATTTTACTTTTTTTTACTTATTTGATATGACAGTGTTCCCAAAATTTTTTGAATACCAGTCTGACATTTTGTCTGACATAAAATATTTTGATGTCACACATTTTTTGATCATGTCAGACATTTGAAAAACATATCATTTTTCATGTTTTAATTTAAAGACAAGTCCAATAACAACAGAGGTACAAAAAAGTGCCTACACCAAGAACACTGTGAAATAGTGGCCTCATTTTTCAACATGTCACAGCCTGTGACTAAACTTGTCAGCTTCCTGGCCATTTGGATTACAAATTTATTAAAATCCACCAGGATCACTTAAAAGTTACTGGTCCAAAAATAAAATGAAAAAAATTCCAACAGATTGTCAATACTAAAAGAGAAACAAAGCCTTGATTTGTTAAGTCTTTTCATATTTATATAGGATTGATTGTAAGAGTTTTAGATTTTAGAAAAATATCAATCAAATTGTAAATGTCTGCTAAAAACTTTCAGCTTCATTATATTGTTTTGGTGGAATAATTGTACTGCTTGAAAATTTTTCTAAAAGTAAATAATTGTACTGGGCATTTTTAAAATGTATACATTTAATTTTTCCATCTCCATGCACAAAATACTGGTAGTCAGAGAATGCAAAATGCATATCTACTATTGTTAAATTATTTTATTTTTATGTTTTTAAAATCCTTATCTATCTATCTATCTATCTATCAAAGAAAAAACAAAAATGAAAAAAAAACAAGAGAAAGCCATGTAATGGTTCTCAGACATTGCTTTATAATTATATCATTATTATTATAATAGTAACCTGAAATTTTAATCACTATAAATATTTGAAAATTTAAATGAAACTTTTATCACATAAATTGCCAAATGAAAAATCAAATACACAAGAACACAATGGTCCAATATACTGTATATGCATGTTGAATTGAGAAGAACTATTAAGATCATCTCACATTAATATTTAAAATCAACTATTCACTTTTTAAAAAATAAAAAAAAAATTACATCGTTTTTATCACTGAGTCTGTACTTATGGCAGCTGAGCAGAAATCAAAACGATATATGCCTTTTTTTTAATTGTAAAGCACGTCAAGTACAAGTATATGCTCTTCACTGGGGGGGGGGGGGGGGCGGACAGAACGGCGCCACTGTGTCTGCACTGTTGACGTATGTTCATCCCTCAACTCTGAGGCTTCAAAGCTGGGCCCCCGTAACTCGAAAGCACCGCGCATTGCGACCGAGCGCAAGCGTCTCCATTCCATAACTCGCCCATACTCACCCCACATATGGGATTTATGGAATCGAGACTCTTGCGCTAGGTCGCAATGCAGCACAGGCTTCAAACAACTGCGCATGTGCGAAAAGTGCGCTGTTTGAAATAAACAAGTTGGTGAAATTGACAAAGACCGTCTGGTTGATTTTATTTCATTAGCTCTCTGGTGTCTTTTTGAAAATTTATATTAGAAATGTTCTATTGATTTTATGTTGTAAAAAGTAAATCCGTCGGAATTCCTTAGAAAAACATTTATTTTACCTTCATTTTAAGGGGATTCCCATTGTATTTATAGTGTTATATGTGGCCCCAATGGGGATTTTCACACCTCCCCTACTCTTGATTAATAAAATTCTTCACCTGGAGGATTGTAAATTACATTGCAAAATACATTGAAAATCGTAGGAAGGTTAACTGCAGATAATGCTGCGAGGATATTCTTAACAGTGGGGGAACTCGGCCAATATAAAATTTTTAACTTCGTTTTACGATTTTGGAGCGCCTGTTCTAATTTTTGAAAGCGAGGCAATGGAACCAAACAATGCGATACAATTTGTAATCTCGTAAAAATTGCTATTTTTATATAAAGGTTATAGCATGGAGTTCATCGAAATGCGACTTGTTTATTATTATGATCTTAAATAATAATTAATATAAAACAAACGATATAATACGTTCTTAACGTTAGCCTTTTTATTAGCTTAATTGATTTTTTTTCGTATTTGGAGATTAAAAACACAAAAGTTGTCTGGTTTCATATCGAGGCACTGCGTTTCGTTCGTGTGCTTCGCAATGCGCGATGCTTTCGAGTTACGGGGCCCTGGCCTGAACCGGTTCAGCAGTGGTAGGCCAAACGTGTAGTAGTGGCCGAATAGGCCTACACATTTTTTACTACACGTTTGAGTTGTTTGGGAGAGTCCAAGCGTCGGTATTATTTTTGAGTTCAAAGCAATAATATATAAAGCAAGTTCCCAGTAGACTACTAGGGCATTTTCAATTTATGACGGACATGTTCGTCTGCCCGACGGTTTTCCGGGAACACTGATATTATGATGTACTAAAATGATGTAGTCTATACTTTTCACAGTTGATCATGCTAGCTTGTTATAATTTACTTTGCTCTATGATGAAAATGAATGAAAAAGTTAGACTTGTAAACTATTATTATGAAGCAAAAAAGATGCTTTCGTTAAACTTTCGTTTTCCATTCACTTACTAGTAGGCCCTATATATTGTACTTGTAGAGGTGAAGTGCAAAAAAAATAAATAAATAAAATAATAATAATAATAATAATAATAATACTATTGCAGTACCCCCTCCCCAGCCTATAAAGTATAAGCCTTTGAATTTTATTTCATGAAGTTATGTGTTGACTTTTTTTTAAATATCTCTGCTGTTCAAATCTAAGAATCTCCCTTTTTTCAGGGAAAATTTCGTGCACTTGTAACTGTGTCGGTATTTACATGTAGTTGTAGAGGTTTCCGCAAGATTAACAGCAAAGCTGGTAAATATATAGAAAACATACAGGAAACAACCCAGACAGCCTCAGTAANGAAGGCAGCAAAGCTGACAAATTTTCAGACATTCAGACGCAGAAAGAGTGCACCAAATAATGATTTGCCCAATTATGATGCACTATTAGTCCCCTACATAATGCTATAAAACAGCATAATCTTACATTATAATATATACATAATACAGGTAACATGGATATTGAAAAACTAGCAAATAATTGGGTTTCATCGGTTATAAAAGCCGAGAATGCTGTGTGAAATAAAAAATATATAAAAAAACAAAAACAATAATTACCGTTAATGTGAAAGGATGGGGGCGTCTCGATAGTCCGAAGGTTCATTGGTCCGAAAAGTGGTAACATTTCCATCGATTTTTTAATCAAGGGTTCATTGGTCCGAAGGTTCTATAGTGAACATTCGGACCAATGAATCTTCGGACTATTGAACCTTCGGACTATCGCTACGGCCCCGAAAGGATCATGCCTATTTTTGAAAGCAACCTGCATCTTTACCAAACAAAGCAACTCCGTAAATTTAAAGTAAAACAAATATACGGTTTGGCAGACTTTATGGGGCGAACGTCATGTGTTGGACAGCGACAGCACCAGCGACGACACGGACAGACACACGGATATATTCTTGCAGGCCTGACTGTGTCTGTAATTAGTTGTACAGAACCATCTTAGAGGCCACCGCAAGATTATAAAACGAATGCCTTAAAGTTACGATGAACGATTTTGACTTTCACTTTCCTTTCACATTAGATTCACTAGCAGGCGGCGGTCAGTGTGCAAAATAGTCAAAAGGTGTCGCCTATCAAGATAATGTAATCAATTATAAAATGTATTCAACTGACACATCTGTTGGCATATAATTTTGATAATCAAACTAAAACAATAGTGCGATATTTTTGTCTTGAAAGTCACGTGGCTCTGATGACTGTCAACTTCCGCCATCCTTTCGGGAGGTCAGTACTCTACTCTTTGGATGTTGAGAAATTAGCAAAGCTGGTCTAAATGTCCACGAGCTTACAGGTAAGTCAAATGCTTATTGGTTGATGTGATTCCGATCACTGTTATGCTGATCTACCCCTGCGAGTAAAAAAATCCCGATAAATCCACTTTTTTTTAGATGTAAATGTACATGTATGTATTTGTTTTGAAAGAGCTTCGGCTCCTCTCGGAGTGCTTTTCTAGTTTTAGAGGTAGGCCTATTTGTTTTGAAAGAGCTTGTGAGTCATGTGCATCACCAGTATGATCCTATTATCCATTCAAGATATAGTCTTCATCAATTTGAATATTATTGACATCAGTAAACCTTCATAAGAATGACATAGAGTTTAGCAACTGCCTTTTTATGAGTGCTTGGTCATGCACAAGACTCGACAGTAAAATATTGCCGTGACACTAACAGCGACAGTCGGGCCACAATTTCCAGTTTTCATTCGTCTCACTGCTTTATTCAACCTAATCTGACACTGCTACTTCGAAGTCGGAGCAAAGTTTTGCTGATATTAAAAAAAAAACAAAATATAAGTAGAAACTGATTATTTTTGATGATGATGATGTGTCGACCACCCACATGAGTAACGTCAGGAGTAAGTCATTAAAAGTTTAAGTATCGTGTTTGAGTAGATTGTGTAATACTAGTAACAATACATATGTGTGAGCATTTGACTTTGTGCTTATTTGACATTTCTCCCCAGAAACCAAATGTACTATTTAGCACTGGATTGTAAATGAAGAATTTGTTTTCCATTTTTTCTTGCTTTTTATTACAATACATTACTAATTTCCATGCTCACATCTCTTTCCAGAAAGCCAATTATATAGTCACCAAGGCTACAGAAGAAGACAAGAAAAAGAATTATGAGGAAGCCTTGAGGTTGTATGAGCAGGGTGTGGAGTACTTTCTCCATGCAATTAAATGTATGCAGATTGTGTTTTTTTAATCAAGTTTCTTTGTAAAATTGCAATTGCAATATTAAAATCAATACGTGTGGTCTTTCTGTTGCTATGTATAGAAATTATTGTTTGGTTAAATGTAAAAGCTTTTGAATTCACTGCTAGAGATGTTCATTTACAAAACATTGAAAAATCTTTCAAACTAAAAATCTTAGCTAGTTTTAGTAATACTAGGTGATTTATTCTGATTTCAGACGAGGCAGATAGTGACGAAGCTAGGGAAAGTATCAGAACTAAGTGTATTTTATATTTGGACAGAGTGCAGAAATTAGAACAGCATGTCAGTGGCAAGAAACAGGAACCAGTAAAGGATGGCAGTAGTGGTGAATGTAAAAAGTATTGAAAATTCATTCATTTAATTAATGTTTTCTTCAATGTTTTTTTTAGTTTATTTTACTTTTATTTTTGTTTGTTTTATTTATTCTAAACATGCAAAACTATTTTCAAGTTTTTTATTCTTGAATTTTTTTGAATGTTACACTTTTAAACATATATAAAAAGCAGAAAATTACTAGTAATATGGTAGGATAATAATAAATTTTTTGTTTCTTTTGTACAGGTAAAAGGTAAACTATTAATTTTTTCCAATAATTAGCATTAAAAGTATTTTCTAATAAATGTTCGCAATTTTCCCTAGATTTATATCTTTGTATGTCTGAATTTACTATTGAGTCATAGAACGGTTTACACCTTCACTAAATCTTATCAACCACAATATTTGTGTAGATAAACATGGACACTCTATTTTTCCTTTCATGTCAATATCAAGCTCTTTTTGATATCTTTTTACAGTGGATAACATACCATGAAATGTAAAAAAATCAGTAATATTTTTAAATTTTTGTGTAAATTGATCAAAGTTAAGATATTCTCCATTTTAGTTAATCAAATCATATATATATATATATATATATATATATATATATATATATATATATATATATATATACAACCTTCAAAAATTTATCTCTGGTACAGACAATTTTATGATCTAGCAGATTTATCCAGGCATCAATAACATCCTTCGAAAATGAGTTTCTTATATTATTTCTTATAGATATCAGTTTCCCCTTACCAATTTTGGCCCAATGTAAATTGGTATTAATGGAGTCTAAAAAGGATGTTCCATTTTGAATCTTTTAATGTACATCTTCTTAGCCAGGTTACCTTTAGTGCATAAATGTAATACTTAATGTCAGTAGTCTTAATTCCTCCATTTCTATCATTTTGAATCATCTTTTCCCTTTTAACTTTTAATTAACAACTTTACCTTTCCATAAAAATTTAAAACATAATTTTTGAAGTTCTTTAATAAAATTTGTGTTCAGGTTAGAAAGTGAAGTAAAAAGATGATTATGTCACGTTCCTCCCTAATACTGTCAGGGGTCTGGTCGACCATTTTTCCATAAACCGCTTTACTTCTTTGAATTTGTCTTTATAATCCTTTTCCACCAAATCCTGTAAGTTGGTTGAGAATTCAACACCTAAAATGTTCAAAGTCTTCGGTTTCCAATCTAATTTAAAATCTTTACAAAGAATGGTGTTAGAATTTTTTTTTTTTTTTGTTTTTTGTGAATGTACAGTTAAACCAGACATGCTAGCAAATTTTTAAAAAGTTTGGAGCACAGCATGTAAACTTTTTTCAGTTCCATCCAAAGTATTGTTGTATCATCAGCATACTGAGAATTTAGAAATTCTTCATTATGCATTTTATGTGGTCATTATTTCTTAACATACTAGAAAGAATTTCAGCACATAATATGAATAGGTATGGTGAGAGGGGAGCACCTTGGCGACAGCCTCGAGATACTAAAGAGGGAAGAAGAATGTCTATTCATTAATACACACGACTGTGAATCTTTCAAAAATATTTTAATCATTAATTTTCATATGCTTCGTTTATGGAATGGAGAATAAAGGAGTGTATATCTGTCAAAAAAAATTTTCACTGTGAAGTTGGCCATGCCTGGGCTTTTATAATTTTTCACATTTTTAATGTCTGAAGTAATTCATCATCTGAGATTTTTCCTTCAAGCATGTTGGCTGTAGTAGTAGTATTCATCTAAGGCATTTCCTAGGATCTTAACAACTCTTTCAGATTAACACCTTCTATCTTGTGTCTGTACATATAGCCGTCACCTGCATGTCATCGCCGTCGTGATCGCCATCGCCATGCACTTTCACCGATAACACGATAAGTGGAAAACCATTTTTTCTTTTGGCTTGAAACTTACAGAACTGATGAATATTCATAATATGCAGTTCAATTTTGAAAATCAGTATGATCGGGCCATTTTTATGGAAGTTATGCTGTTTTTTCACTTCGGGCCATTTTTATGGAAGTTATGCTGTTTTTTTCACTTCTTTCACCAAATATGCAACACCGATAACACGATGAGTGAAAAACCGTTTTATCTTTTGGCTTGAAATTTACAGAACTGATGAATATTTAATATATGCAGGTCAAGTTTGAAAATCAGCATTATAGGGTCATTTTTATGGAAGTTATGCTGTTTTTTTCACTTTTTTCAGCATATATGCAACATCGATAACACGATAAGTGAAAAACCATTTTACCTTTTGGCTTGAAACTTACAAAACTGATGAATATTCATAATACGCAGGTCAAGTTTGAAAATCAGCATGATCGGGCTTTTTTTAAATAAAAGTTATATTGTTTTATTTTTCATTTTTTTTTTTCAGCATATATGCAATACCGATAACACTTTTCAAGGAAAATCGCTTGGCCAATTGTCTTGAAATTCACAGGAGTGATCAGTCTTACTAGAATACAAGATAAGTTTGAGAATAAGCTTGATTGGTTAAAGATGCATACAAAGTCAATTTTTTGTCACAAAAACCAACCAAATGCCCGCATATAGTTTCAAGTTAGTAAAAAACTAAGAGAATNATCTAGTAGAAGTGGTTTACATGTGCTACTGGGAATCCACGCTCCACCGATGCTCGGTTCGTATGTACCTTTAAGTTTTCGTGAAGTTATGCCTTTTTATGTAAATAAGTGTTTTTTCCTCAGATTTAATTCTTAGGCATGTTAACAGTCTCATTTTTTAACTACATACTAGTAGATATGTAAAGGTGTTCTTTTGACATTTTCTGCATCTTAATAATATTGTTAGTTTAATATATAAAAATGATGGTAATTCTGTTATTGTGTATTGTGTAATAAAGAGTTAAAAATAGAAAAAAAAACTCATATCTTTACAGTTTGTTAGATTCAATCATTCACTATGTTCAGAATCTCAGAATAGAGCAAATTGGACATCTAAAATTGTTCTATTGATATATTTCCTTTGTCAACAATTTTCTTAGCTAATCAATTAAAAATAACAGTAAATAGATTATTTTGTTTTATGTATAAAAAGGTGTTGAAAATGGACAGAAAATCTTTTTAATACAGTTATCTCTTGTTTACATTTTGGCATTTTGAAAGTGTGACTTTGAACTTCCATGGCCTTGAAGACCTTTCCACGCCACATTTTCCGAATTTCCATGATAATTTCATTAGTACCACCAGCATGTACCCTGGCAGTACTCATGGTTTTAGTCCCGACCCGTATCGTACGGCTCCGCCGGCTTCGAACGTGAGCTCCGTGAGCTCCGCCGGCTCCGCAGGGTGGCGTGGGATACAAGTCACCGTTACCGCTTCTCCTCCTAGACCGCACGGACCTGTGTCCCCAACTCTTAGATTTAGGTCACATATAATCTCAACTTGAACCCCCTGGTTTTTTTGTCTCAGTCGGTGCATTCGCTTGGGCGTGACACTCAATGAAATGCACCCTTGTCAAATTTTTTTAAACTTCAATGCTATATATCTCCTAAATGGAAGGAATTATGGGAAAAATTAGTATAGAAGTCTGACCTAAAATCATATATGAGGATTTCAAATATGCCTTTGGATTTGACCTTTGACCTTTTTTTCAAGGTCAAACAGGCCAAAATTTTCTAAAAACGGGTATTTTTTGCAAAAAAACTTTTATTTGTACCAAATTTCAGAAACTACACAGAGTTTAGCACTCATATCATAGTGAGGGGATGCAGTTAGGGACTCCTTTCATTTTTGGTAGTTTGGGGTCAATCGGTGCATTTTCATGGGAGAAACGGCCATAAGATGCCAAAACTGAAAACTTTGACCTACTTTTCACTTTGCACTGAACTTTGCAATTTTTCCATCCCTTCTTTCTCCAATACTGGCCAAAATACACGCATGGTTGCATTTGAACTTGAATAGGAAGTCATATTCTGGACATCTGACTGTCACATTTAAATTGACCTTTGACCTTCTTTTTACCATGAACTGAACTTTGCAAATTTTCTTTCCCTTATATTTCCAAAACTGGCAGAGATAGGCCTATTTCTTTCAGTATATATGCAACACTGATAATGCATTTTAAAGAAAACTGACAAGCCTATAGTCTTGAAAATTGGCTTGATCAGACAATTTTTATAAAAGTTGTGCTGTTTTTTTTATTTTGGAGGAGGGGGCATATTTCTTGTCTTGTTTATTGCATTTTGAAGAGCTTGTCAAATACAACACTGGTAGTTGTTCCTGTTTGTTTTTGGTTTTCCATTCGAATGCGCTTACTCCAGCTGGTGGTACAATATCCAGAGGCGGTATCGCCTCTCTGATCCTCTAGTTTTATTATCAAAACGTTGATGGCCATTATGCTGTTAAGCATTATGTAATATTACATCAGAATTGAAGACAACCTTATTTTGGGCACTGTCTCCATAGTGACCATTAAAAGAAAACCATGTCACTTACTCTTCTCAAACTTACACACAAAAGTAGCTTAGGACTCAAATGTAGCTTCAGTTGGAAAACTAGTTTTATCAATTAACTTTTCTGGAGATTATATAGGTTTTTTTTGTGAGAATTAACATTTTCACATATTGACATTTTCAAGGTATGAATTTGAACTTCTATTGGCTTGAAGACCTTTGCTAGTCACATTTTCTGAATATCCATGATATTTTATTATTAAAAATTGCTGGTCATCATGCTGTTAAGCATTATGTTACATTGCATGAAAATTGAAGAAAACCCTATTTTGGACACTGCTGCCAGGATGAAAATTAAGGGAAAACCATGTTACTTATGATACTCAAACTTACTGAAAAGTTTCATAGGACTGAAGTGCAGCTTGTGTTGGAAAATCAGTGTGATTGTTTTCTGCTTTGGAAGCAATGCAGTTCATAGAGTGCTATCTGGTGCCACAGTATATGGATGTCAGTCAGTATGTTATTGCCCCTTGGGTAATCACTAGCTAAATTCAGGGCTATTTAGTCTAATTAAGTCATTTGCCTAATTAATTTTC